AGTTTCCAATCGTAGTCCTTATTTCGTCGCGTAGGTCTGTGCCGATTGTTCCGGTCCGTATTTCTTTCTTCAGTATTTGCAACTTTATGTTTTTTCCAGGGCGGCTTGTTGGGCCTGCCCCAACCCCTGTCTCACCGGGGGACCCATCGTGCACAATTCTGTTTAGAGTCCCACACTGGCACTAGGACGGTGATCAGCCGCTCCTAACATGGAGAACAGACGCCGTTTTGAGCCGCCCCTCCATGGTGAACAGACGCTCGGGTTTGGTGAAGCATTTCCTCTATCACCGTACTATGGTTACCGCGCCAGTGTTCGCGTAAAATTCACCTCCTAGCTGGAATTCAGACATTAGAAGACCTGAGAGCAGTGCGCAAAACAGTCAGGTTCATTGAGTCATTTTGATATGAATATGAACTGCCATTTGCCTCATCATTCACTGCCTCGTGAGAGTCTGAATGATTGAGAGATAAACGAGTCACTGACAGCCGAGCACTCAGTCAGTAGCTCAGTCAACACGTTTATTCTGCCGTGATGGTACCCAATATTTGATTTGAATGACTGAGCGTATATTTTCTATGGAAAAATGACTCATCACATGCTGTGTGAGCGAAGGCAAGCGGTGTGCGTCGCCTGCTCGTGAGTGACTGAATGTTTTTGTTGGCTCTTTCATTGCCTCGTCCTTTACCGTTTGGTACAAACGGTCTGCACAGAGAAATGGATTGAATAGTGCAGTGCTTTCACACTCAGCCTAGGCAGTCAATAATTTTACGCTCTGCCTGAGAGTATTCATCCTGGAAAGGTTCAGAGACACCTGTCTGCGATCAAATAATCAGATCATACGTGATCTAGCACGTTAGGTTAAGTTATACTCGTAGTTAGGTAGGTTTTCACTTTATCAATTCAAACATAACACATCCCCCAAGGGGTATTTTGTAGACTAGTAGAAAAACGTGAATACGTAAATTAGAATAACAAATGAAACAAAGATGAAAAGCCTGATATGCTAATCAATTAAAATGTTAAAACAATGTAAAATCATAATTATCAGAAATAAACGTAATTTTACTACTTACTACTACAAATAATGAAAGATCGATGTGTAGCCATCGCTCCCACGGCTCCGACGCAAATTCTTCTTTGTTATGTACTTCTACACCTCCTATGCATGCAGTCGTGGTAAGCGAAGTCTGCAAAGAACTCAAAGAAGACATGAGCGCTTCTTGTATTATATTTGCTCCCTGCGCCGCACGGAGTGTACCGCTCATTTTGTGCATCGCTTTCTCAAAGATTAGTTGGAAAAGAGTGTTAAAAGCAAATGAGAGAACCACACACTGTTTGTCGGGTGTTGTGAGATGCATGCACAATAGACTGATGCAAAATTTGAAATTTTCGCTCCACAGTGCTTAAACGGTTCCAAATTGGGTCCTGCTTAGTCTCCCAAAATTTGAACTAGTTTAGTAAGAAACTGACTTGGCACAAACCATTTCATGTTTATATGGGAACTACTATGGGAAAACTTATGTTTTTGTTCGTATCTATCTAACAATTCACCACATCACTATGCTTTTAAAAAATGATAGTTGTGATTGTAGCAAATTTTCCCAGCTACAACTTTGTTAAAAACCACTTTTCAATCAAATGTAAGTAACAAAAGTTATTAATGATTTAAGTCACTGATGTCTTATGATTATGCTCATTCAACTGTTCATCAGGCAACATTGGTGTTTCTGGTGCGAAGAATAGAGCACAAATCACGGGGGCAACAATCACGAATTTCGGCGGAGCTCACATCAATGTGATTAATATAGTGGGTAAGAAGGATGACTGCAACAGACTACTCTTTCTAGCATTCAGCACTGCAATGCGAGTGTGAAAGAGTAAGCTGTCTTGTTCTGTCGTGCCTCCGTCAGTATGTCCAAAAGTGTCAGATTTTCCAAAAATGTCAAGATCATGTGAGCTATGGTGCATCTATATGCGGTTGACAGGGATAGGGTCCCCCTGGCACAAATATCATGGCTACTATGTCACACTGCAGAATACAGTGTTGCCTACAGAACAGCTACTTGATCATGCCATAAGATTATCAATCTCTTAAACAATTAATAACAATTTAATTTGACATTTGGCTGAAAAACGATATTGCGCAAAGTTGTAGCTTAGAAAATTTTCCGTTATAATAGTTATAGAAATTTTCGAAAAAGTTATATGGAAAATGGGCAGAAGACAACGAACAAAAAGCTTTGTTTTTCCATAGTAATTCCATATAAACTTCGAATGATTTGTGCCAAGTCAGTTTCTAACCAAATGAGTTTAAATTTTGGTAGGCTAATCAGGACCTGATTTGAAACCGTTTTTGCATCAGTCTTATGCACAATGTTGCTATGCAAACGCTTTCCAGCTCTTGTGACAAATATCGCAAAGCAATGGCGACAATTTTTATATAAAGAATTCTGAAATAAATTTCAAAAAAAAAGTGTGATAAGAATTCGAAAGGAATCTGAATCTGAAGTTAATTCGATTCCAAAGGAGTTTTAGGGAAAATTTAATATTCTCGATATCGCCAAGCTGCAAGAAGTTCAAACTCACAACATCGGAGGACAGTGTCATGGGAGTATCGAGAAGAATTTAACAGAAGTATAACATATTTGTAACGGAGCTTTGGGATAATGCGATCGAAATTTTGGGACAATTATAACGATTATAATGTGGAGATACGAGGGGAATTAAAAAAAAACATGCGGCAATAATTCTGAGAATGGAAAAGAAAAAAAAGTTTTTATGAGAATTTCAGGGAAATCCTGACAAAAATCCAAGGGCATCCTAAAGAGAGTATCCAAGCAAATATTAAAGAGGATTTAAGGACAAGCGAGCCCCGTAACGTGGGTAGATCACCTTTTCGTAGTACGTTACGGGATGTAAGATCTACCACCGAATCTTAGTCTTGACTACTTCAAACTAGGGGTACAGGATTTTTCAGTAATCAAAGGAACACATCTTAGTCCTTGTTACTTTTTATGCCTTGTTGATAGTGATAAGTCCTCGGGTTGCCTGTACCGAGGATGATCTTGAAACAAGGAAAAAATGAGTTAGTTAGTCTTCAAGTCTTCATCTATGTGATTCCTAATCTTCTATTCATTGTTCTCTAGTTTGAAGTGGTTAAGACTAGGGTTCTGATGCATGGTCATTATCGGTGTCATTGCTTATTTTTATTGCTAAGGAATCCCATTTAGACTGACAAAGGGGCGCGCCTTTGGAGGGTATTCCAACACTCCGAAGGGTATAAATAGCGGGACCTTTCATTTAGAATCGATTCCTTGCGATGAAGGCAAGAATGACAACTGTATCAACACCGAATACTTCATCATTTCTCAATAGTGATGGAGTAATACGACATGCACTAAACTAAGGACACGGGCTATACTACAATAGATCAAATTACTGGTCGCAGTAGTGTTATGTCCCGAACAAAGGAAAAAAAAAAGGACAAGCGAGGTGTTCCTAGGCAATAAACAGGAAAATTCTGTGGAAAATTCAAAGTTCATTTTAGGTATAATGACTTTTAAATTTCAAAACACATTAAGTACCAAACATTTCACGGTTCGTCTGCGGCTATACATTTCACAATCTGAAAGCTATCCGCGGGACATCCAGAAGACAGGCCGTAAGATGAGCAACACTGTTTCAGATGAATCCTAAGCAGAATCAAATATTTGAGCTCAATGCTTAGGAGTCTATAATGTGACTTTGAACATATAAACACCACCATATTATAGCTTGGATTCAACTGAGCTGAGTTATTTTCAACGCACTTAATTGTATGCCACACAAATTCAAATCAGAACATATTTTCTGATTCTAATCATAAATCATTCCCACTAGTCCACGGTTCGCTCTACGGTTTAGTTTGCAATTGAAAAACTAGTAAAACCCCGCTATATTTGTTTCCCCACTTTCAACGATCGTATGCATAGAAAATTGGTCCAGGTGTATGCACCTAAGGCAGGTTCATTTTGCATAATTATGCAAATATTTACCACGACATATGTATGGAAGCTATGTCAACACCGATTCGTTGATACCCTTAATACTACCACACCATAGTCCGCGTGCGGGTATGGTAATAATTTAAAATAAATTCTGATTAATACATGACGTTCAAACAAATAAGCAATTTCCGTTGCACTCCATTCAACGTGTTCATATAATAGCATATAATCAGGTAACTAATTGCTGTATGATTATTTGGAGCACACGCATTGCTTCAGTATTGTTTCACCATTGATTTAATAGAATCCGTTCTCTCTTGAATGCCTAGCTTCATCATCATCAGTTTTGCGGTTTCGAAGAATTGAAACAATAATAAATTCCATTTTATGAAGAGTTTTTCGGAATATAGTGTTTATTCAACGGAGAAAAAGTTCCGCTTGTTTTATCGAGACAAAATACAAAATTGTTTACCAAGCCTTGTTAAGGACAAGGTTGATAGAATCCAAAAATGGCCGTTGTCTTGGCTGATTTGCCTTATAGCACCCATTTGCGGATTTTTTTTTAAGGGGAACGTTATTATTATTTGGAAATTCATACGCAGTTTTTTCGTTTAAAACCGAAATTTTTCCATGAAAATGTGCTCACAGCGTTCCGGTAGGAAAGTAGAATGTAGTGAACACAATTTCATGGACGGCAGCGAATAAACTTCTTTTGAATTTTTGAATAATCTTCACCTTACACACTTCCTCTTTCTGCTGACGGCATATTCTGATTCAAGCTATCACGTTGTCCGCATTGGAGAGCTTTCCAAAACGCTACCCATCGGCCAACGGAACGGAAAGCAAAACTTTCATGTGTGTTTAATCGACCCGAGGGAAGTTTTGTCATCCTACAGCCAGATCCACAAGATGTTATGCCACAATGAACGGGGATACTTTATCGTTCTCATTAGGAGAAGACCAAAGTTTACTCCATCGTCAAAACCAGCGAACAGTGGTGGTAGATATACTTACCTTAACGAGCGGATCTCTGGGTAGAGATTGATATCACCGTTGGTCATGCCGTACCAGGAGAACTGTTGCTCCTGCACCAGCGAGTCGTTGAAGGTGCTGTACAGCATCAGGTGGCCGTCATTCGATAGCCAAATCGCCTTGTTGCTCTGCAGAATTTCCTCTGATGGGAGGTGCAGAATCACCGCGGCGGATAGAGTTGAGCCAGCATGGCACGCGATGATCCATATGTGAGCGAGAGGTTTGCGGTCCCGTTTCCAATGGGTGTTGGTAGATGGAGCAAAAAAGGGGAGAAATGTGAAAGGAAAACGTTAATTAATTGAAAAATAATTAAAATGTTCGGCATGCAGCGCAGCTGGCACGGCATTCAATTGCGGTAAGAATATAAATAAGTGACCAACGTACACGATGCACAGATTGCACGTTAAGCAGAATGTTTTAATTGCAAGAAATTGATTTCAGCGCTTCGATGTCTTGTTTAGCATTGTAGTGCATAACCTCGAGTATGCCACGAGTATTCGGTCTCGGTTCTACCAACTTTAGGTATACGAAATTTTGATAATTTATATTAAATTACGGCTCCGCAAAGTTATCAGAATTGAGCCTTAAAAATTAATGATTTATAATGGATTATTAAAAAAAAGTTTCGCAAAAAATGTCGTTATTGTAATTAATGCATTTTTCTGGTATTATCCGTACAGTTAAATACCGGAATAACCCTCTAGCGACAATTAATTTTACTCTCGTTCTGTACATTGGACATAGTGTCGGAAATAGTGCGCTGTATAGCGTATCATTGTGAGATTACAGCGCACTACTTCTGGCACTATGTTTCATGTACAGAACGAGAGTAAAATCAATTGTTGCTAGCGCGGTTAGTTCGGTTTTCAACTGTACCGATAACAGCTAACTCACAAAAGATCAATATATTGTTCTAGAGATAATCTGGATTTGCAGTGAAAGTGGGCTTGTCATGTAAACTGACTAGTATACTAACATTGTTTTGACCATTTTATGAAGCACCAGGTTAATTATTTAAAGTAGTGGCCATAAACTAATCCTCTAGATAACATCTGGAACGGTCGATAATGTGACCATGTTCTGGCAAAATTATGTATCGAGAAAATGGTTTTTGCAATATTAAAACATAGAAATTTTAAACCTTTGAAAATGCTCTTTATTACTGCGTAGCTCATCAGATTCACTGTCCCGCCCGCCGTGTCATACGATTACGTCTTTCGGCAATATATTGCGGGTACAATTTCAAAAAACAAAAATCAACCCCGTTGCGAAAAGTGGTTAGGTTTCGACCACTTATAACTCTGTCAATAGAGGATGGATTTTATTTCTAAACAAGCCAATCGATTGGAAATTTTTCTACAAATCTACTGAAATGAACACTTCATCAATTTTCAATAGGTCACTATTGAAAATTACACAAATATGCAACTGTTGCAATGGTGATCAAATTTATCACCGATCGCCTGCAAAAAGCGCTTTCACTACCACAGTTTTCAAAATTGAGATTATCGGGTCTCGCCGAACGGTGCTTATTCAATCACCGTCCGTGGTGATGTCCGGTCGGTTGTCATCAGTAGTACTTTCGGCGCGTGGCGTTGAACATTGTTCTCCAGTACACATCGAAAGGCTGCCCGCAAGTAGCGAGCTGCAGCCCACATGAGCGTCCATTCACCGAAGAAGGCGGAAGAAGCCGCACCGCTACTGATCGGATTCAGTAGCTCTTGGTGAGTCGATGTGAGCCATCTATGCCAAGTGCGTCACCCTCGTTCCAAACAACATACAGCTCGCCAGCCTCATCCGTGTTGAACACCCTAATAGCTCAGCATTACTCAACCATCACGACAACACGGTTCTTTTCAGGGCCACTACAAATTATTGTTGATTAAATTTTCGAATTTTTTTATCATCTATTGAATAAACCAAAACATCCGTGCGTTTTGTAAATGCCATATTTTGTCATCAGAAAACGAGGCGTTTCCGTGATGGGTTAAGTGGATTCCCTAACACAATCGCCTAATATTGATCCCAAGCACGTAGTCCTATGGTCTATGGTATCTATGGTCGTGCCTTGGATATATATTTTTTTTTTAGTCAGGGGAGCAGAGCGATGGGCTAGAATCTAGAATAAGCTTCATCATCCAGATTGCCATTGGTACATTTACCAGTTTGCAATGCACACTGAACCAGGAACCGAAATTAGCGAGACAAAACCTCTAGCGCATTGGGTTCGCATTATATTGAATTGGTGTCTTTGGCAAAGTTTCTCGCTTTAACAAAAAATTACTTCCAATTTTCTCCGCATAGATGGTGCTGCGATATTAACTTTCTTATTTCACATGGTAGAGGTTAGCTTAAAAGTTAAAAATGACGCAGGGCTCAAACTTCTAGGTCTTCAAATAACAAAGATATAGTGAATATTGTAAAATTTAACTGAAATTTACGTTTGTTGTACTATTTTCAATACAAACGACAAATCCTTCATTTTTAACGCCGTGTATCTTTTAAGTCGGATAATTTGTAAGTTTTAAGGAAGAGTTCCCAATGTTTTGGGTCGATACAAGCGAAATTTTAGTCAAAATAGTGAAAATTACTTTCCGGTTTCTCGAAAAGTAGCAAGTATTAGCAAAAAGTCATCTACTTTCTGAAATGTACCATTTATCATCAATCAAAGGTGAAAGTTTGCAGGACATAATGTTATATATTTGAGATATCTGAATTCATAGACTACAATGTTTATTCAAGCAGCGTTCGCCAAATGATGAGACATCTTTGAGTGATTTCGGAAAATCAGAAGAGCTCTAGGATCAGTTTCATCAATTTACCCCTTTTAGGGATGATTTTGATCCTCTGGAGCGCCATTCCGTAGACCTAAGAATAAATTTACCGAACACAACTCCGAGTTCCTATTGATAAGATGTCAATGAGCTGTTAAAAAAAAGTGGAGCTCTAGTATCAGTTTCAAGAATTGACCACTTTAACAGATGTCCCGGATCTTCCGGTGAACCATCCCGTGATTCATATTCCGGTCACAATTATGAATTCATTCTGATAAGATGTCTTTAAGAGGTTTCGAAAAAAACCCACGGAGATCTAGGACCAGTTTCATGCATTGACTTTTACGGATGCTCCGGATCTACCGGTGAACCATCCCATAGTCCTAAGGGTTTATATTCTGGTCACAACTCCGAATTAATTCTAATAAGACGTCTATGAGTGGTTTTACTCAATCCACGGAGCTCTAGGATCAGTTTCACGAATTGACCACTTTTTCAGATGTTCCGGATCTACCAGCAAATCATCCTGTGGTCCCACAGGTTTATATTCCGACGTCTTTGAGCGGTTGAAAAAAAAAAAAAACCCCAGAGCTACAGGTCGACCATTACGTGATCCCCAGGGTCCATATTCCGATCACAACTCCGAATTATTTCTAATAAAACGTTTATGAGTTGTTTTGAAAAAACATGGAGCTCTAGAATCAGTTTCATGAATTGACCACTTTTAAAGATGTTCCGGATCTACCGGTGAACCATCCCATGCTCCACAGGATTCATATTGCGGTCACAAATCTGAATTCATTCTGATAAGACGTATATAACGATAAAACGTATACCAACTTAGTGGTTTAGAAAAAAAACTACGGAGCTACAGGATCAGTTTCATCAATTTGCCACTTTTACGGATGTCCCGGATCTTCTATTGGACCATCCCATAGTTCCCAGCGTCCATATTTCGTTCACAACATCGAATTCATTCTGATAAGACGTCGATGAGTGGTTGCGGTAGTCCTCAGAGTCCTAATTCAGGACTCCAAGTTAATTGCAATAAGACGTACACGCAAACCAAAAATTTATTACAATGAATGTTAGTTCCATTTCCTATCATCCTCTGTTCATGAACATCGCAGCGAATGTTAGAAGTTGACCTTGCAGGCGATGTAATGGTTTTTTGCCTTTTTTATTTCGTGTTCTGTCTGTGCTTTCATCTACACAAGCAAGCATTTGCCTTGATTTTTATGTATAAGATGGCAGAACGACGCACACACTTGCCTCGAATCTCTCCAGCAGAAAAAGCATACGAAGTCAAGTGTGAGATGAAATGAGTGCTTCTTGTTTGCTTTTAGTACATGGAGAGATCAGTGGAGAAAGCACAGGTCTGATAATCACAACGTTCGTGGTTCGAGTCCCAGTCGGCAACCTTTTTCCAATTTTTTTCGACATAATTCATTTCACTCACTAATACACTCCACATTTTTCGGTCTTCAATTCTCTTGCATTGGGCCACAGCTAGGTATATTGCATCCTCAGTTCATGCGGTCTCCACTAACATCCTCTGATAATGAATCCCACATAATTGTAAGCGAATCTTACATCCACCGGTTGGGTGTATGTGAGCGGTTTCGATAAAAACCATGGAGCTCTAGGATTAGTTTCATGAATTGACCACTTTTACGGATGTTCTAGATCTTCTAGTGGACCATTCCGTAGCTTTCATCGTCCATATTCCGTCCACAACTTCTAATTTTCTTATAAGACGTCTATGAGTAATTTAAAAAAAAATTCACGGAGTTTTAGGATCAGTTTTATGAATTGACCACTTTTACCGATGTTCCGGATCTTCCGGTGGACCGTCCTGTAGTTCCCTGAGTCCAAATTCCGGTCATAGCTCCGAATTAATTGTAATAAGAAGTCTATGAACGGTCTCGAAAAAAAAAAAAACTGCAAGGGGCAGCCCAATGGGGTTGTACGCAATGGTGACGTAGGACTACGTGGTCTTATATAATAAATGTTATTTTTTTAACTGCAGCAGCCGCTTGTGTTTTGTGTAGGAATAGGAATTTGAGCGGGGTTCTCTCTGTTTATACTCTTTAGTATGACGCACTTCACATAGATGGCTCACAGCGACTCACGAAGAGCTACTGATTCCGATCAATAGCGGTGCGGCTTCTTCCTCCTTCCATGAATGCTCATTAGACTGATGCAAAATTTGACTTTTTCGCTAAACAGTGCTTAAATGGTTTCAAATTGGGTCCTGATAAGCCTCCCAAAGTTACAACTCATTTGGTTAGAAACAGACTTCGCACAAGCCATTTGAAGTTTACATGTAAATTACTATGGGAAATCTCAACTTTTTGTTTATTACCTT